CAATATAGAATCCAAAGTTGATCACGAATTTCCGGGTCAGAATGGGTTCTTATGACCCTGATAAGCACGCCTAATATCCTAATATGATCCTAATTAAATGGATATTTTCCGTTTCCCAAATTGCCACAGAAGGTTTACTCAAGTCTCTTACAAGGAGGGTCGCTAGAAGGTTTAAGACACTCCGGAGGGTTACCTCGGAGGGTACCTCAATCACTCAAGTTACTTAGGAGGGTATCTTAATCACCCAAGTTACTTCGGAGGGTCCCCTTAAATTTACTAAGGAGGGTCAATAAGATGCTTAATACGCTCCGGAGGGTCACTTCGGAGGGTACCTCCAAAATTTTCAAATTTTCTGATCTCACTTGGAAGGTTCTCCTACTAGCTTCAAAAAGCGTCAAAATAAGCTAAGGGTTCTAGGGGGAGCTGTTTCAACTTCTTAGGGTGATCTCGTGGAAATTTTCCACTAAGGAGGGTTGCTAAAGGGTTTAGCTGACTCCGGAGGGTCACTTCGGAGGGTTCCCCCTAAAATCAAGAAAAAGGGTTAAATCACCGCAGTAAAGCCTCTGAAAGCGGTCTACCTGACTTAAGACTAGGTTGGCTGACACGGTCAACCTTCCCAGTTGAATAAAAAGATGTTTTGATAAAATTTTCTGCCGCTCGGAGGGTTGCCCGTTACTTGGACCCTCCGAACCAACAAATTCTAAAAAATTCCGAAATAATCAACCCAAAAACGGTTGCGATTCGGAAAAGTGGTCAAAAACGTCGACTTATGGTACCAAAATTATCCCGATCGGATAACTAGTCTTTGAGAAATCGCCAAAAACGCGTTCGTCAAAATGGCCTTTTTCACCACCTGTGTAGGATCTGAAAGACTTTTTTCGCAATTCCGGTCGAAAGTGCCTAAAAATACTTGAAATGAGCGTAGTAGCCCTGTACGGCACTGGAATAATGCAAAAAACCGGACCAAAATTGGTTTAGAAACAAAAATTTGGCCAAAAACTATCAAATTTGGACCCTCCGATTCCTTCCTTTTCCAAACCTTAAGTCGTTAGCTCTATCCACGGAGCTACTCGGAGGGTTACCCAAAAATTTCTCTAGTAACCGAGCACGTTATGCTAGCACGCTCCTAACGCAAAAAATTTTATTGCTCTAACTCTAAAAACTCAAAAAATCGATCCCCAAAACAGATTGACAAAATACAGAAAATTATCAAAATTTTGGTCGAAAAATTCTCGTTTTCCTAACTTCTACTGAATCTTTGCTCACGCGGTTTCTTTAATAAAGGGGATCGAACTACGTGGCTACTCTCTATATAAAAGCTTTTTGCCTATCGGAAAAGCTCGGATATCCGAAAATTTGGGGGTCTACAGTTTGGTCGAAAATTGGTAATTTTCGACAAAAAATGGGTGTTTCTTGGGTCTAAATAGGAGATAAGTAATATATAGTAAGGACAATAATCTATAAATAGTCGTTAATAAATAGTACTATACCCTCCTTTGCACCAAAATATTCGAATTAAGACCCTTACCTCGGAAATTTGTAATCGATGGAGGGTACAATCGGACCGCGCCAATCGTGCCCCCCACCACTTAAGTTTTAAGGAAATAGTACCCGAACGATACTAAAATTGCTTCAACGATACCCAACAGTCGTTGCGGATGTTGTCCTTGATGTCCCTGTTGAGTGTGGAACACGTTGATCAGCCTGCCACTCTACCCTCCGGTCACCGGCAAAATCACCATTAACGTGCTTAAACACTCAAATTACACTCGAGGGAGGGTACCCAACCCTTCACCAAAACACACAATCTCTCTATCAGAAACGATATAAATCAATCTGAAACAACAACAAATAGGAAGGTCAGATCACATCTCGTCCGGAAATAACATATAAACTGTCACTTTATGTTTTTTTACTTTTTTTTTACTGTTTTTGGTCTTTTTTGGATTTTTTACTGTTTTTTGTACTTTTTTTTTGTTTTTAAATAATTATTTTTGGCTTTTTCTCGGTTATACACTATTTTTTGTTTGGTTTTACGCTTTCTCTTTAATTGTTTTTGGTCCTGGGACCTCAGGACAAGCGGGCTCTAGATTTCCCACCTAACCCTCCGACCCCCGGAATTTTCGGTGTTAACTAAGTTAAAAAGCTAAATCGTACTAGACGGAGGGGTACGCACCTTCCCCCTAGTACGAAAACGGTCATTAAGGCCTCTAACTCGGGCATACGCCCGGAGCGGAGGGTACGTCGCTGAAACGCTTGCTGATCATGATGGTTTCATGCCTTTAACAGGCCCACCCAGGAGCGCCATAAAAACGTCTATGTAACATTCGCCCAAATATCACACAGCGACGGAGCGTAGAAAAAGTACCTATTGACGACTGGCAGGCGTCAGTTACCTTAATTCCACTCGTTTTTCACCGTCTCGACCTTGCCAGTTGATTTTCTGGTCTGTCTAGGGCAAAGTAAAAAGTTACTATTTTTAGGCCATCAGTCAAACGACTTTTGATCAGCTTTCGTTTGCATGCGAACACAACCACATAGCTGAGTCTCGGATCCTCAGACTACGTGATTGTCATTAAAAACACGGCTCGAACAACCTATTTTTATATGTTTTTGTGTGACAGTTTTATATTAAATCCATTGGAGATGGATTGACCCTTTCCTTTCTCTATCTACTCATGCTCTGAAATATTAAATAATAACGGTGTTTAATTCAGATCTAGGACATTACAGCAACTGTTATGGCTAGTTTACACAGTCCCTTCACATATAACAGTCTCTGGGGGACCAAGCCTCCGCTCCCGTGATTTTCTTGAGACAACACTCTTATCTCCTATATTTCGTGTCCCGGGAGGGTTCCGTGGTATTTCTCTTCCCCCCACTGAAGCCTCCGTCTCCACAAATATCCGTCACTAAGGTCCTTATCGTGTGTTATTGCCACGATAAGAGGCTCCGTAATTTTCTCGTCTCGGATACAACCGTTCGTCACAAAATATGGCGTCGTTCTCCTTTTTCTCTATTTTATTCAAAATGGCCGTCTTTTTTCTATTTCTCAGAAATGTTCTCCTTCAAATCGAAATTTTAAAAATAAAAATTCCAGAACATTCTGACCCTCCGTCGCAACACTTTTCTGTTCGTAAGGCCTTTAGTCACTTTTCTTTCCGTCGCGGGAAGGTTATACTGTGTCATCCGGCGGAATGGCACAAACGACTGGAGTATTATTCGGAACTGGACTAGAGTGAACCTTCGGTGGAAAGGTGGACAGCTTGAGTGTCCTAATGGTTCACAAGAAAACTATTGTCTAGAGTATAAACTCGTTCTCATTGTTAAAACTATAAAACATTAGACTCATTTAGTTACGTTATTTAATTCTTGAGTTAGTTAACGACTGGATTATTTCCCACTTCTTGAGCGTGCTACTATGTGAGTACAAATTTAAATTCCTAGAGTGTGTTTTATAATTGTTATGTTGAGGTAAGGCGAGTTTTAGGTTGATCCATCTGAAATGGATCAAAGTTCCACTGTCTAATAAAAAGTAACTTAACGGATTGTTCCAACCCGGTTTTTAACGGCGTTCATGTATTTTGGGTATCTAGAGACCTAAGTATGGGGACGTTTCTAATTCTAGAGTGGGGGGATATTTTAGTAGTAGCCTTTAAGCTGTAACGGGTCGTAGTCTCATGTCACAAGCGAACCGAACTGGCTCCGACCGTTCTTGAGGTAGAAAAACACAAGAGATAGTGTCCCTGACCCTTGAGCCAGTGGTTATAGGGCCTATTTTTCTTAAGCCTCATGTGTGACTGCAGTAGACGAATGTTACATTGATTTAGTTCCGAAACGTTCTACCTACTCAGCAAACAACCTGCGCTGTCGTAATCCACCTATTGCTCGCTGTAAGATGGAGAGGCAAATGAAAATATTTCCGTATCGCCTGCTGCGCAGACTTCATGACATTTAGTTTAATTTTTTATGTCTTATTACGATTTATAGATGTCATTCTATAACTAATTTAAGTATCTATCTATCTATCTATCTTTGAGGGGCTCAGAGCCAGAGACTCAATAAGCGCACCTATGTAAAGAGTAAATCTAAAAACAACTTCAGTACTTATAGGGAGGGGCTCAGAGCCAGAGACTCGATAAGCACGCTTACCTGTTTAGATTAGTTACCAAACACAATATTAACATTGTTGCAGTAGTAAAGTAAATGTGAAGTAAAAGAAATAATTTGACCCTGATAAGTTTCAGGCCTAAATTATATTGGCTTAATGGACTCATACTGTGTTTTTCGATGAGCGAAAAGTTTTTGTATGTGCCATTGGTTGTTTTCAGTGGAGGGGGACCTTTTTTAAGTCTTGTTGGTTTTTTTTCAGCTTGAAGGGTTCCTGCTAAGGTATTATCGTTTTTGTTACCGCTCGGTAAATTTGTTTCGATTCGAATTTCACATTCCATTGCCCTGGCATGTTTTTGTCCCGTTTCATTTTGGTAGATCTAGTTTTTTTCGACATTTTCGAATTTTTTTTATTTCTCTGGTTTAGCGGTCCCCCCTTTCAAATTCAATTTTAAAAAGCTTATTTAAAGTTATCATATTGCAATGAAATTTGGCGTGGTGAACAAATCGACAACTGAACAAATTTGCTCTTCATACTTTACAGCGTAACATCACGCATTTAGCCGTAATAACACGTAAAACATACATAAAACTCGGTATTTTGAAAAGGGGGGACTGGAAAAGAGCCCGGTTTTCTATCGCAAGTGGTGCGAAGCACAGCTTCGCTTCTGTGTGTAACTTTAACGCACTGTTTTTTTTTCGTATCACTAAAATTAGCCTTAAATGTACACACGAAATGGATTTTCTCAATACTCGAAAATGGAGCTATGATAACAAAATTAAGGCAATCACTAATCATATATCTTATTTTCCAGACATCAAAAATGCTCCCCTACGACGACGCTGTGTTCAAAGGTTTTGCTTTTTATGGTTCTATCTCACTTGTGAAAATGATGGGCCTGGCCCTGTGGACAGGAAAAACTAAGCGAGCTACTCAATCTTTTGTCAATCCAGAAGATGCTCAAAGACAAGGAGTGGCGCCTGCTACAAGCGAAAACAAAGACGTAGAAAGAGTGCAAAGAGCTCATAGAAATGATGTCGAGAACTTGCTCCCTTTTCTAGGATTGGGAATTTTCTACTGTGCCTCCCGGCCAGACCCAGTAGTTGCTCTGTGGCATTTCAGAGCGTTTGCTTTGGGGAGGTTTATCCACTCTATAGCGTATTTAAATGAAAGAGGAATTGAAAGGGCTTTCGGGTTCATGTTGGGAGCTGTCGTTTGCGTGTCAATGGCAGTCCAAAATGTGATGTACTATGCTGTTTCTTACTAAGTTCAAGATATCTGCATTTGAAATCATTCATGCAGTATAGCTTAGCACAAAAATTTTGAAAATAGTTTATTTGAGACTTGTTTGAATATACTTCAACTGTTTGGTCATTGTTGCTACAGAAAATTGATTACTATCTATGCACATTGTTTTTCAAAATTTGTTCTGATGTAACCATGCATTACGTGCGTCTTAAGTACTATTCAAGCTACTGCAAACTAATGAATTAATAGAACAAAAGGTTGATCCAGAGCATGGTGTTCTTTCCCAATAAACCCCCACCCCCATCCTACCAAATATAAACAGCTCCAACAATTTGCTTTTTGTATTTTCAGAAAGCGCCGAACAAAGCAGATTTCGAGAGCTCATTATTCGCGAGTTTGATACAAGTATGGTTGCTTAGGCCCTAAATTGTGAAAGGATCCCTGAAGAAAATAAATCAGGCTTCAAAGTTATTGAAAAATTGCTTTCAAATTTGTGTAATTGCGTTTTTCGGCATTTATCAAAACAGAAATACTTTTGTTCTTGCTTTTTTCAGGGACCCAAATACCATACTTTTACCGCGAATTAGTTTTTTCATTGGTTTTGCATGCATGCTCATGTTTGAGTCAGTAATCGTTATTTACTAGGCCGCTGTATTCTGATTGACAATCCCGGAAGTACATGGAGCGTTTTTTAGCCTGTCGTTGTTGCCAGCAGAATTTGATTATCAGACCAGCTATGGCGAGAAGTAGAAATGAGATCACACAGACAATGAAAAGAGTCACACTGAAACAAAAAAAACAGGAATTTAATTCTCGGTGTTTGCTCAAATTTTATTGTTCACATCTTGATTAATTTTCGGGTTAACAACTAGTTTAACAGAATCACATGAATCATTTTACCTTTGGTTCATGTTAAATAAAAAGTCAGAAGTTAGTTTGCGCATATTGCGAAGAGGTAACATATAAAACAAAGGTCAATGGTTCGAATCTGGCCAGGACCTGTTTTTTTTGGCGGAATTAATCGGACTTCTGTTTGTCTGCTTTTTTCCGTCGGCTTAGTTATCGCAGCATCAAATTTGCCTAAAATTGCCATTTTTCATTAGAATTTTAAAAAACCTAATCAGTGTATACCGGTTTTGGGCTAGTAATTATGTTCCAAGTTTTCCCAATTTTTTTTGTTGTTTTTTCATGCTGTTCATAAAAAGATTTTGGAAGTTGTTTTCTCTATAAATTCATGGACTGTTCTGTGCGTTTGGTGCAGCGGTAACACTCATACTTGTGACGACAAATCCCAGAAGTTCGATTTCAGTCGTTACCTGTTTTTTGTCGAAACTGAAAATTTTCGAATATACTAGACTTTGGTGTCTGCTAATTTGGGTTTTGCGTCCCGCAGAAAGGTTCGGTTTCTTTTAGGTTTCCTTTCAGGAAAGCTTTTGCAAAGATTTCAACGGTGCAATCAATTTTGTTTCAATAACTCTTAGACGAAACTTTTTTTGACAAAAAAAACGATTTTTGTGATTTTTTTCGAATGTTGATTTGTCTTTTCATTTGCTGGTAATCATAATTATAGATATTAATGTCAGATCTGATACATCTGTGTCAGCTATATCAGTTTTTCAATAGGACCGTTTAAGTTAAACATCCAGAAAGTAAATCCTATTTCGAACTTAATTTTAGGATACGGGAGTTGAATTCGCTCCAGTAATTACAAAACTTAGGACTGCGCTCAGGTAGATATGCTTTTTTCGAGTTCAGTTTAAGTCTTTTGCTGAAAATTGGCCAATTGCGATCTCAAATTACAAATGTGAAAATGGCGCAAAGACGTGATTGAATTTTATTTGGTACGTGGATTTTAATTTTTAGATTTCCAGCGGAATATAAAATGTATCTTTTGATCCAGTTTTCTTAATCTAGATTAATTTTCCAAAAAGTTCCAATATGGAATTCTGAAATTTTTTATTTCGATTTTTTTAAGAGGAAATTTGGAATCAAATGTACCTTATTTACTATTACTATCGAAGTTCTAGGCTTTCGTTCAGGTTCAGATCCTCTGATCGCGCCAAGAACCAAAACGACACATTTTGTAGTAGGAACTTTCTGTGCTAGCTCCACAGCAACCGGCTATCCTTCTGTATGCTTGCAATTTTCTGATTTCCTTTTTCGTATGAAAGGTTTGTTTCTTTCAAATGGTGTCGGGATATGTTTTTTGGTTTTGTTATCTTATAATTCATCGTTTGAAGGGGCTTGCCAAATTAGTTCATTAGGTTTGTCATGAAAATGTTTGTTCGGATCAAAGTATTGTCGGCTTAGTTGTTGCCTCTCGGTTAAATTTTTCCGATTGCTTTTTTATTGCTGTCGGTTGTCTTTCTGGATATGTGATCCGCAAATTGAATATCAATCGAGACAAACATATGAAGTTTTGCATATGTCGTTTTTAATGAGTTAGCTTAAGGCGTGCATTTGTAGTTTAGAGTCTGGGGTTTGAATCTCAACCGGACGCGGTTTTTTGATGTCTGTTTTTTGACCATCGAACTAATTGGGATTTCGAATCAATAAGGCAAGTTATTTGAGCTATTTACCAGCTTTCTATTCACACTTTGCTTAGGCGGCGAGTAATCCGGCTGAGAACTCCTTCACTATTGTATTGAGATAAGAAGGTTTTTGGTCTTTTTATGAGGCCGTGAACTAAAGGAACTTGAAGTCCACACGCTATTTAAAGTACAAGTGATAAGTTTTCTCGTATAGTTAAACTTATCACTTGTACTTCAAATAGCGAGTGCGGGTTGGGGATCCTTTAATTGACGGCCTAATTTTTTCGCTTGTTTGCGAAGAGCAGCTTCGCCTCTGTATCAATTATCTATAAGGTTTGATTCTTAAGCTGTTCACAGATGTTTGCGAAGTTTTACCTCGCCTGTGTGTTAGATAGAAAATTTTGGACTTAGTGAAGTTAACTGACTTTCTTGTGGAATAAAAACAAGTTTTGTTTTCAGATAATAACTACTTAAGCATGACCGAATCAGATACATCGAGTGCTACAAGCAGCGAAACACCGAAAAACAATGAAAAGCGGCGACGAAAGAGTCTGCTTCGTCAATCACTCCTTAATGCTACTTTCAACTCATCGGTGATTGAAGAAGGATGTCTCTCGCCCGCCTCCAAGGCAAATACGGACGAATTGACGGACGGTGATACCCACCAGAACCAAGCCAGAAGATCTGTGAGAGCAGACGATGTTCTGTCTAGCTCTCATGTGCCAAATAAAGAGCAACTTGAAGTTGTGTCGAGACCAAACATGGACACAGCTCAAGTTGTGAGTCATTATCAGAGTTGCATCCAAGCTGCTAATTCCGGAAAGTTGAACTCGAAAAATGCGTTTTCTTTGCATCTAATTGACATGATGGGAGAAGTACTGAAAACCATCAATAAAGACCAGTTTTTTCAAACTGCAGGATGTACGATTGACGTTGGTGCAAAAATTTATTCGTACCGTGTTGATGGTCTACACACTGATGCATACAGAGTAGCAAATATCCTGGGAGGGGGCAAGAAAGAAGACAAGGAAAATGCGGACGATGGAGAAGCGGATATGGAATCTGAAGTGCCGATCCGATTGAAGAAGAAAAAGAAAAACTTCAAGTGTATCGTTCAAGACACCAGCAAGATTTTTAAACACGTGGTGTATAACGTTGACCATGATGCAATTCGGCTCAAAGCGGGATCATTGATTGACACGACTAATAACGATTTCGTGAGTCTGAATTTACCTATCGAAGAAGGTGACGATCGAAAAGAACGAATAGTGACTGATGGGAAAGAAAAAATGAGAATTTTTAAAACGGAATACCCTGACGCGAGTACCTTCCCACTGATCTCAAAAGATGCATTAAATTTACCTACGTTAGAAGATTTGAAACGAAAGGTTTTGTGTCCACCTATAGATGAAATTTACAGGATATTCAATGAATCACTGCTCAACAGAACTAATGATGAAGGAATTAATGATTCGAGATTGGACAAGTTTTTGACTGATGTTCAAGACAACTTCGCTTTCGACCCGGACGCACCACCAGTTCCGGACAATGATGACTACTCTATTCATTTTGATCAAGATGAGAACATTGGATCTGTTTCTCGCCTCGAGGAGACTTTTGGAGCTGTGCCGCATGGAAGTGAGTCAAGTAGTGGTGAGTTTGATTTAATGGGTCAAAGTCAACTGACAGTGATCGAACCATCACTTGAGAACCTACTGAAATTCATTCAGCCGGGAGAATTTACCAACTTCAGTGAGCCAGTACTTAATGCGTTTTTCGGAACCAGAGCAAAAGCTGCGCAGCGTAGGGGCAGTAAAGCTGTCAAGAAAAAAACCAAAACATCACCGGATAGCATAACAGTGGAATACAAGTTGGAAACTGTGTCACTGGCTAACGAGAAAAGGCAGGCTGCGACTACTTTGTCAGACAGAAACCTGGACAAAAACAAGAAAACATGCGCAGAGTTGAGTCGCGAGGAGTACCCGCGTCAAAAGTGGACCTCGTACTTTGAGCTGGAACTAGACTTTGCGAAGTTCCATAAGTCGGATAAAAGAGTCCCAAAAGATGTTCATATTGAAATTGAGGAGGGATATAATTATCAAAATGAACTGGATAAGAGTAATGTAGCACCAGTATTCAGAGATGACGATTACCAAGATGATGGCAATGATAAGCAAGACATGGATGACGATGAACCTCAGTTCTTTAATGCCAATGGCGATGATTTTGACGTTGATGATTTTGCTAATAACGAAAACGAAATTAATGATAATGCTCTTGTTGACCAACCAGTGTACACTCAACAGTTCAAGTTGAACTACTCGAAACGAGCAAAAACTGTTGATGTGCGAAAAGTCAAACAGTGTATGTTGGCGACCCTGATAAATAAAGCCAAGGAAACTGAAAATACAGATAAGGAAAGTACAGTTGAACTAACTGAGCTATTCGCGAAAGCAAAAAGAAGGCTGCCCGAGCGAGCTGTTGGTGATCTTTCAATTCCGATCACGCTTGTAGCGCTTCTAGACTTGGCAAACGAAAAGAGTTTAAAGTTGGATACTAATGAGAATCGAACCAACGTATTGGCTTCTTTTGAAGATAATACTTAATCATGTACTGGTAGAAACTCATGATCTTGTTTTTCAGAAATAGTTGTTATTGTTTGTAGAAATTGAGTGAATACTTTGAAAAATTTCAAATCTGCGGTTTATTGTGGTTGGTCATTTCTACCCAATCAATGTATTTTTGTAGTTTTTCTTTGGCATATTTTGAGTGTTTGATTTTCTTGTGAATGAAATAACAGATTTTGTCTTTGCTTGTGATACTAATTAAATATTTGATTCGATATTTTTTAGCTTTGTTTTTTGAGAAAAAGAAATGTGAAAAAACTGTACTTTAGCTATAGACTGCCTGGAAAAAAGAATGGTTTTTAATTCAATGTTCTGTGCTGCAAAAATTATATCTTTTAACCAGTTTTTAAAATCAAAAGATATAGAAGCTTTGAAAAAAAAACATCTTTTGTCAAAGCTTTTTCTGGCACTGGTAATGTTTTATTAGCGCACCATTTTACGGCTCTTTTTCCTGCCCCACCCTCACACGAACAGAAATTTAATGGTTTAATGAGTGGTTTTATGAGGTTCGTTTTTGACTAAATATGTTTGTCATGGCTTAATTTGTTCGTACGTTAATATTCAGAACTATCGGACAATGCAGTAGCGGATTTAAGGGGGGGGGGGGGGGGGTTTAGACGCTCACCCACCCTCAGGGATTCGACCCCCTGACTACCCTTTAGCACTATTTCAAGACCTCCATTTTTGGCTGGCTGACCCTGAATTTTTTTAAGGCGCCTTTCGCGCAAATATATACTATTTTTGATCGCCAAAATCAATTTGGTCGGCCTCAGAAAAAGTTTTTTATTGCAATTTGGGAGAGCTCGGAGGGTCTTTTCAGTGATTTGACAGAGCTCAGAGGATCTTTTCAGTGATTTGAGAGAGCTCGGAAAATCAATTTAGCTCACCACGTCAAAAAAAATCATTACGTCAAAAAAGGTTGACAAAATTTTCGTTTTTTTGTAACTCTCCTTCCCCCTCCCTTGAGAAAATCCTAGATCCACCCCTGTGGCAATATGAACAAATTTTTTACTTGTATATTTCGCAGTAGAAGGGGGAGGGAAAAGGCACATTAGACCTGCCGGTTTTGGCTCTACATACATGATGTACAATAAAAGATGTCGTAGCTAAGTGGATAAGGCGAGTGACTGTTGAGCGGAATGTCGGAGTTTGAATCTTGTCGCCTTGAAGTTTTTTTAAATAAAATTTTGGATTTGATTTTTTTTCAGGGAATAGTTTTGTATTTTCTTGTGTTTACCTGATGACGTTTTTAGTACTTTTTGTTGTTTTTGTTTGTATTTGAGAACGGCAGCTTGGGCCAATTTTTATTGCCATCATTTTAAACGCAACGGTATGTTGCTGTTGGTTCATTAATGCGAATCTCTGCTCCGCGTGTGTGAATTTATGATAGTGTTTTTTGTTACTATTCCGTATAGTTTTCTGAATTGCGGTTCTTTTGTTTATGGTTTTTGATACGTTGTATGGCTTAGTTCCCATCTGATATGGTGTTAAGAATTTATGGGATTGTGGTATTTTGCATTTAAAAGCTACTCATATCATATTACTACTTCATAAATACCCTTGCGATTAGCAAGGGTATTGCAATCGGGTATCAGACCTTTTTCCCATAAATAACTTTGTATACAGGACTCATCTGGACGCCTGATGGTATCTTAATTCATAATGAATTCTAATTTCTTAGTATCTGCTGCACTTTTAGCCTGGAGGTATCGAATGGGCCTGGAACCGCAAAGGTCTTGGGTTCGAATCTGACCTGGACTTATGTTTTTAAACGGGAAATTTTCTGTTTCAAATTAAACTGTCCGCCTAATATTTGTCTGCCTATGTTTTGCCGACTCAATTGCGTTATATGAGAACCGTTTAATTTCGCTGTAAAATATTTTCATTGTAGTTGCTTTTAGTGCGTAGCGAAATTCGATTTACACATTGTTTGTAATTTTACCAACACGATCTGTTGAAATTTCGTTTTTTAAAATTTTTTTGATTTTTTTTTGGTTAAATCGGTTTCGGCGTAATTTATATCGACATAGTGTCCTCTTCTTTTTCATCGTTTGATAACCGAAAAAAATTGTGTGCGTTTGTGTTCTGAGGGGAAGGGGGACTTAATGTTTTCACATTTGTTTACTTTAAACTTTTTTAGTTTCAATACTTTTTTGCTGATGTTTTTTCGGCTTTATGGTTGTCGATTAAGCTCGTTTTAGTTTCCGAATTGGATATACCACCTTGCATTCGGTACATATATGACTGCCGTGTATACTACTTGGGCAGTACGTATATATATTTTTTCAATTGATTTTCAGCTGATTCGCTGTCGGCTTTAATTCTGTCGGCTTATTTTTCTAATATTTTGTTTTCTACAAGGTTCCGATAATGGTTATGAGATCAATAAGACTTAGGATCCAAGTTTAAACTTGCGATTGTTCAATTTAACCCCACTTGTGGAACTCTATAAAAAATGTTTTAGTTCATTCTTTAACGGCAACAAAGTTCCAATTCCTCTTTGATAGTTCTTGAGTCTCTTGCTATTTTAATCATGTACTTGTTGTGTCGAAAAATTATGGATACACAATAATTCCAAAATGTGTGCTGCACTTCTTTGTTCGTGTAATTTCGAGAGAATCGTTGCAACCTCTATCGATTTTCTGATTGAATGGATTATTTTGAAGAAGTAGTTTTCAAAATATTGAATGCAAACTTGATGAGTTTTTTCAAATTTTGGATAATCCTTGTTGGTTTTTATTTTTTTAAGAGTACTGAACTTAGTTACGACTCTGATATTGGTTTTGCTGATTATTTTTTGTTGTTTTTTTTTTCAGGAAAAGTCTTAACAGTCTATTAACTACAGATGTGCATTCATACACTTAAGTATAAATGCACTTTTTGAGTTCAATTGAAGATCATCTGCTAAAAGTGACGTAACTAGTATGCTCCAAATACGAACGTGAAAATGGCGCAAAAATTCGTGAAAGAATTCTAGTTTCGAAAATGGAATTTAATTTTTAGATTTCCAGCGGAAAAAAAACTTTACCTATTGATCCAGTTTTCTCAAATTGGGTTAATGTTATCAAAAAAGCGCCAATCACAAATCGTTCTAGAAATTCAAAGAGCTGTAGGGGCATCTATTTTTTTCTTTGAAATTCGAAAGATGAGATTTTTTAGTGTTTTTTTATGTTTACTTGCGTTCATCTCTCTTATCTAATCTTCGATTGGTCATGTTTTAGTTTTTCATAGCTTCATAAATATCTAAATAGTTCCGGTTAGTTTTTGAAACGTCAGTGCTATTTTCTAACAGAATCAACAGATTTTCGCTGACTAACAAACGTTTTTTGAGCATTTTTGCATCTTATATACCCCGTCGATTCAAAGTTTGCGTCAAGTACAAAAAATTACTGTTCCGTGGCTGTTTCGAAGTGAGTTGGGCTTAAAAGCTTGGATTCTTAGGATGCTTCCAAGCTCAACAATTTTTCGGCTCAACGTGCGTCTGCCCAAGTTTTAAGAATTAAGTAACGTTGGTGGTATTTTGTTAATGATAGTATTTCTTGAAAAGTTGTCCTCAAAATGAACTTTTTTCGTGACACATTGAGACAAACTTATGAAGATAAAAGCTAGGTTTTCATGCGATCTTTCATGTATAAGTGGTGCAAAGCTGAACTTGCCTCTGCGTAATCAATGCGTGCTCTGTTGCCAAATTAATGCCCACGCAAGGGGTGAAATCTGACTCAAACTCAGCCGAAACGTTAAATGTAATGTAATCTGTTGAATGTAATGTTTCAAGTTTTTTTGTTGCTAAGAAGTAATGCACAAAGAGAATTTATTTCCATTCATATACTGTGCAAAAATTGCCTGACAGTTTTTTTGAGAAAATCTTTCAAATGGCTCAATCGCAGTATTAATGATCTGACTTTTTTCTTTAGAAGCTCGCATCAAATTATGTTAATAATTAGAGGGTAAATTTAGTCTCTGCAAAATTTACGAGGAGGGGATAAATAAGACTGCTTGTATATCAGGGCGTAGCACTGAATGTTCAGACTGTCTTTTACCATATGTTGGTAAAAGCTATTTATGAAGAAAAATTTTACTTGCTAAACTCGTCCGCTTATTTTGTTTTTCAAAAAAATTTGGAATATGCTCATTTTTTCAGGATAATTCGCCATACAAAAATAGCTCTTACGTTTTCAGCATCATATGTAAATCCTTAATGTGCGCATATGTTAATCCATTGTATAGCCAATTTGTAATTTTCAAACCCGCAGAAAGTTATATAAATAATTGCCGGCAAAATATCCTTTTTCTTTTGAACGAAGTGTGTTGATATCTTCATTGAAGTATACACATTTGACATAAAAAAACTATTTCGATCGCCTTAATTGGTCTGAAAAAAAGTTCCTTAGCCGTTCTACAAAAGTCCAAAGAGAAAGTGATTTTTATTTTCGGAAGTGCATTTCAATTTATAGATGTTTCTAGAGGAAGATAAATTTCTTAATAAACGTGTCCTAATTTTGCTCAATGCATCATCAATTTTACTCTTAAGTATCTTTCGCAGAGGATATTAACTAAAGTTTCAAATGAAGTACAAATTCTTGAAAATTCTGGAAATTGCGAAATGGTTGCTGTTTTTTTTCAGTTTTGAAACGATGGGATATTTTTGTTTTTATGGTACACTGTAAAAGAAATTATCATCATTATTTGGTTTGTAAACCCTTGATAAAAGGCAAAATAAAAAGCGAATTGCAGGTTATGTAAAAATTGAACATTTATATTTTCTGTGCGTGGCGCGAGCAAAACAATTGAACGATTCTGATACCATTAAAAGTAGCTGTTACCAACTACAGTGAGAAGACTAAAAAACGAAAAGTTAAACAAAAAATCATAAATATGTATAGGTATATATATAGATACATGTGTTTAAATATATATCGATATCTCCTTTTTAGCTCGTTGCACGTTAGAGTTAATGTCTATAGTTAATGTGCCTAGAGTTGATGTGTTACTGGATGTACTGGTAAAAAAAAATTTCCGATGTTAATTTTTTATAGTAGGCTTAATTGATTTCGGCCCAAATTTTGCCGGCTTAGCCCAAGAGTTCGTTTCCAGTTGGGACTTGTTTCTTTGCCAATTGA